TAACGGCTAGACTGGCCAAACCCCATTGGTGACTGAACGAGTCTCTTCTTAGTAATTAATCTTATTGCATAGATATTACCACTCATTTAAAAACATACTTTGATATCAACAAAGCAGGTGACACTTCTCCAGCAATTAATTGGGCTGCACAGAAAGCTTCGGTTAGGATTCAATTGTCCTCTAGATTAAAAAAGGTTTGTGAATGGAGTGATCTCTGCTAAAATGAAGGAATATGAGGCCCTAGCTCGTCGACAAACATTCCCCAACTCCTGGTCTTTTGCACAAATTGGAACAAGCTCGCTTGGAGCTCAACATTTACCTTACTACTAAAGCTGAAAAACAGCTGCATTGGACTAACCACAAGCTCTTTACCAGGTGGGACAGAGCGGGTTCTCTATTGGCACATAAACTTACACCCAGACACTCCCATTCAGCCCTTCCCAACATCAGGTTATCACATTTCCCAGGACCCTCAGAAGGACCTTGGAGAATTCCACACTTTTTATACTAATCTCTATAGTCAGCCTCAAAGTGCTGTTCCTTTCTCTATTCAAGACTTTTTGGGAGCTCTGCCTTTACTATCACTTGAGGAAGCCCATAGGGACCTTATGAAACAGGCTTTTTCCTGTGCGGAGGTCCAAAAGGTCATATGGATGTTGTCTTCCAATATATCACTGGGCCCTGACAACCTACCACAGTTATTATAAGAAATGTTCTGATCATTTGGTCCCACATATGACTCTTTATTTTAATGCGCTACAGGATGGTGGAGTAATCCCATTACAAGAGAAAAGAGCCTATATTAGCGTTATCCCCAATCTTAACAAGGACGCGATGGATGTCCTTAACTATAGTCCTATATCACTGATTAACTGTGATCTCAAAATTCTTACTAAACTCTTGGCTCTCTGCGTCTTACCACTGTCACGTACCTGGTGGGGGAGCCTGATGCGGAGATGAGGGCATCCTCTTACACCTCCTGCTCGGTGCCTCTGATAGAGCTAAACAGAAGGCACGAAAGCCAGGAGTGGCACAAGTGACTGGCAAGTCTGTGATGTCAGCAGACAGTTGGGTAGTCCGGACAACCAGGATGCAGGTGAGCAGAGGATGCAGGTCAGCAGGAGCAGCAGTTGGTAGGTTCTAGCAGGACCTCGGTAACTGCAGACAGTAGGTAGCAAGTGGTAGGCACAGACTGGAGAAGCAGAATCAGACAAGCCGAATGGGGATCTTATCAGGTGGACCAGGTACAGGGAGCAGGCAAGCGGAAAGTCAAAGTTCAGGCCAGAAGTCAGCAACCATAGGCAGATAGCAGGGGAACAGGCAGAGGCGTAGTCAAATGGTAAGCTGGGTCGGTGCAGGTGGAGTTCAAGCAAAGTCAAGACAGGTCAGGTCGGCATCAGGATACAAAAGACAGCAGAATGTGGTAGACCAGAAGGCAAGGACTCCCAGTGCAGCAGTGGTTTAAATAGCCCACCTGGCACCAGTCTGGTGGCAGGTGTGCATGCTGGCTCACGCATCTGCACAACTGATAGGTAATTGGCATTGGCACATAAACGTGCGCCTGGGCATTCTCGGTTTTCCCTGACAATGGCTGATAGGTAATTGGCATGTGCACAGAAATGTGCCCCTGGGCATTCTCTGTTTTCCTTGACAAACACTTTCTTGAGACATTTCCATACCGATCAATCAGAATTTATTACTGGATGCCAAACCCTGGACCAGATACGTCGCTCTATTGCTCTCATTTTGGCAGTTCGAGACAATTGTGATGCCCCCCTTTCTAGGGATCTTTTGCTTCTTTCCCTTGATTTACGCAAGGCCTTTGATAGCCTAAATTGGGACTATTTACTACCTTAGAAGCCTTGGGGTTTGACCCGATGTTTCTTTTTTCATAAACGTTTTACATTGTACCCCCTCTGCTCAGGTTTCCATTAGAGGCTATAGGTCTTTGCCATTCCCCATCCAATGAGGCACTAGGCAAGGTTTCCCCCTTTGCTTTTTGCACTAGCAATTGAACCCTTAGTAGTGGCAATCTGTTCACATCCTAGAATCCATGGTATCATTGTGGTCAACAGGAACACAAATGCACCCTTTTTGCTGGTGATGTTCTCATGTATGTTACCACCCCTCAGGAAACTCTACCCAATATGATGTCTATAATGCAACAATGTTCTCAGCTTTCTGGGCTTTCTTTGAACTCCCCAAAAACGGCAGCCTTCAGTGTTTCCTTGCCCCCCTCCATGGTAAACACTCTGAGGACTACCTATAATTTTCAATGGGCCCCACGCTCTCTTCCATATTTGGGGATTCATACATCATTGAGCATCCCTATCTTCGCCACACACTCCACTGGCACCTATTTTTTTTGCAATCCTGAGTTTCCATCAGGGTTAACACCAACTCTATTTCAAAGGTGGAATAACAAGGCATTCCTGTGCATTGGTGATTATTTGAATGGGGACCAACCATATTCCCTGACACATTTTAGAGATAATTTGCAGATGCCACCTAGTGAAACTTTTTGGTATAACCAAAACGGTTTCCTTCATAAAATCCAACTCTTATTGACTGGCCCTCTCATGTTGACTCTCTTCGAATTATATTGTCAATCACGGAATGTTCCAAGGGGAAGAGTGTCTGTGGTGTATGCATCTCTCACTTAGCTGATATCTAAGCTTCCTTATATAACTCAATGTGAACAAGAATTGAACTGTACTTTGGATTTGTCTGAATGGCAACTTTATCACATTTATTAATATGACATTGATAGAAGTGAACTATAAAATGCTTTTACGTTGGTATCTGGTGCTGCAATCTTTCTTGGTCTACCTGACCTTGGCTTGGTATCAAGAGATCCCCGAACTTTCCACTTCTTAATAGGTGATTTAACAGTACTGATTGGCATATTCAAGGCTTTGGACATCTTTTTATGTCCTTTTCCATCTTTATAAAGTTCCATTACCTTGTTACGGAGGACTTTTGACAGTTCTTTTCTGATCCCCATGGCTCAGTATCTAGCCTAGTCAGTGCTTCCACGTAAGAGCTAACAAACTCATTTACTATTTATATACTGACAATAATTGCAATTTAAAAAGCCACAGATGTGGGACATTAACCTCTAATTGACATTTTAACCCGTGTGTGTCACCTTTTGTGTCTGTACCAAGGCCAAACATTCCAGGGTATGTAAACTTTTGATCATGGCCATTTGGGTGATTTCTGTTATCATTATGATTTAAAAAGGAGCCAAACAACTATTTGACAATAAATGACTTCATATGATCATCATCCTTCAATAAAAGAGATTTTTTTGGCATGATCAGTCATATTTTCAGTATCAATGCCAAAATTTCACAATTTCTGCCAGGGTATGCAAACTTTTGAGCACAACTGTATTGTTGAAAAAAAATGACTTTTTTTGTTGTCAGGTATCATTATATTTCTGGTCCCTTGTGGGCTGGGTTAGCAGTTTTAGTTTATTGATGACTGTCATTATCTCTAACTCATATATGAGCTATGTCTGAGGTCATAATAAAAAGTGTTGCCTTTAGATTTAATTTAACCACTTGCCCTCCAGAGGATTTACCTCCCTTCCTGACCAAGCCATTTTTTGTGATACGGCGCTACGTTGATATTTGATCACCTGTGCGTTTTTTTATTTTTTGCACTATAAACAAAAAAAGACCAACAATTTTGAAAAAAAAAAAAACCCTAATTTAGACTTTTTGCTATGAAAAACATCCAGTAAAAAAAAAAAAAAAAAAAAAATTTCTTCATAGATTTAAGCCAAAATGCTACGTCTTTGCTAAAAAAATATCCCAATATATGTAAATTAATTGGTTTACGTGAAAGTTATAGCATCTACAAATGGCGGTATATATATACATATCCAGCGGCAGGGAAGCGGTTAAATGGAAAATATAACTTCACTGTCTTCTAAAAGTTTAAATAGAAGCCTGTAATGAAGATATGGGCCTACAATGATTTTTGCTTTCATACATATTAATGAACTTTTGTATTTAGCCACCTGGCTGATGTAAGTAGCCCTGGACTCACTGTCATTTCTAACACCTCCTAGAAAGTATTGTAATAGATCTTCCTAGGGGAATCTACATCAAACAAACAATGTAAGGACAGCTGGACACGATTTTCATAAATGCCAGCCAGTGACCTACAGCTGACCAGTAGTCTTAGTACTTGACCATAGTCCAAGAGCGCCATCCGTTAACTGAAATTGGCAAAGACTTAAGATATTTTAAAGGGTGTGTCTCTACCTGGATGAGTGGGAGTAAATGGGTCTGCAAGTATATATAAAAGAACCAAGGCACAGACTTTTTTTTTGGCCGCACAATGGAATAGAAGGATGTAACTCCATTATTTCTTTACTCTAATTGTAACTTTCTCTTCCTTTAATTCTCTGTCCATTTGCAACATTCTGTATTTCTAATTTGCAACATCACTGCTTTTAGTCACTGTTCACACCAATGCGATTTAACGTTCAAAATCGCATGACAAGTAGTACCCTATTTGTGCCTATGGATTTGTTCAAATCAGTGCAACTCCAACTTGCCCTGATTTTAAAAAAGGCTCCTGCACTATTCATTCGGCAACTTGCATTTGACATCCATGCGTGAAGTCGCACAGATGTCGGCAAGCCACACATGAAATCGCACTGACAGGCGGCTTTGAAATCACACTACTTCAGCTGAGCTAGGGTTAAAAGGTATACAAGCTACCTTATTTTTTTTATGTTTAACTTGTTGCCGACCGCAGATAGCCGAATGACGGCTGCACTGCGGCTGACCAGTTCTGAGTGGACGTCATATGACGTCCTCCCAGAACGCGCTCTCCTGCGCGCCCCAGGGGGGCGCGCACCCGGCGATCTCCGTGATCGCTGCGTCCTATGGACACAGCTGATCACGTGATGTGGTAAAAGGCCAATCACAGCGGCCTTTTACCACGTGATCAGCGGTGTCCAATGACACGCTGATCAGAGGGAAATGCAAGTGCCGGTTCTCGGCTGCACTTTCCTCACGCTGTCAGAGCGTGAGGAAAGTACTGCCGAGAACCGGCAGTTGTCAGAGCGAGGATCGGCACCGATCATCAGGGCACTGATGATCAGTGCCCTGATGATTGGTGCCCAGCAGTGGCACCCGCAAGTTTCGCCCACCTGTGCCCAGCAGTGTGCCCACTAGCTCCGCCCACCTGTGCCCAGCAGATCACCCACCTGTGCCCAGCAGTGCACCCACCTGTGCCACTCTGCAGTGTCACACACCTGTGCCCAGAAGTGCCACCTACCTGTGCCCAGAAGTGCCACCCACCTGTGCCCACCCACCTGTGCCCACCAGTGCCACCCACCCGTGCCACCCACCTGTGCCCACCCACCAGTGCCACCCACCAGTGCAGCCCAGCAGTGCTGCCAGTCAGTGCCACCAGTCAGTGTCCAGCGGTTGTGCCAGTCAGTGCCGCCAGTCAGTGCCCAGCAGTGCTGCCAGTCAGTGCCACCAGTCAGTGTCCAGCGGTTGTGCCAGTCAGTGCCGCCAGTCAGTGCCCAGCAGTGATGCCAGTCAGTGCCGTCTATCAGTACCCATCATCAGTGTCACCTATCAGTGCCGCCTATCAGTGCTGCATATTAGTGCTGCCTATCCGTGACACCTCATTAGTGCTGTCTATCAGTGCCGCCTATCCGTGCCCATCAGTGCTGCCTCATCAACGCACATCAGTGAAGGAGAAAAATTACCTGTTTGAAAAATTTTATAATAGAAACAAAGAAACTTTTTTTTTTTTCAAATTTTTTGCAATTTTTTTATTTATAGCGCAAAAAGTAAAGCGCCCAGTGGCGATTAAATACCACCAAAAGAAAGCTCTATTTGTGAGAAAAAAATGATCAAAATTTCGTATGGGTACAATGTTGCATGACCGCGCAATTGTCAATCAAAGTGCGGCAGCGCTGAAAGCTGAAAATTGGCCTGGTAAATAAGGGGGTATAAGTGCCTGGTAGGCAAGTGGTTAATAATAGTCAACTTCTTTTCTGTGTAAATAAATTAGGTTTGTATTTTCTTTTTATTTAGCACAGATTCTGACAGACAAAAAAGGTGGTATATTGGCCGAAACATTAATGGTGTCCCGTGTGAGAAGCTTGACTGGGTGAATGTTACTTCTTGTGTGGAAGACAGAGCATTATTTACGTCTTTGTTTTCAACTCTGTCTCCCCTGTCTGAATGCCTAAACTAGTAAGTTTCTTTTTAAACCTTTTGTCTAAATCAACACTGATGAGACTGAGTATGAACAGTATGATTGAAATAAAATTGTACTGAGAGTGTATGAGAATACATCCTGCTAGGCTGTGCCTATTGCAGCAGGGTGTGAATGAATGGACTCTTGGAGGCAGTGTGAAAGAAAAAAAGAAAACCTAGGATCTGTGCCGTTCTACCAAAAAGCAGTTTCAGTTGCCCTGGAATTAGACGCTTCTTCCTTTGTAATTCAAATGAACCTGTATGATTAAATCAAATTGAATGATCTTTTTGTGTATGAATCTGTCTTCTTTATATAAAAAATTTTTTACTTGTGAGCCAATAAGGTGTATAATTATTATTATACAGTATTTATAAAGCGCCAATAGTTCGCTCAGCGCTGTACATTACAAGCGTACATTTACAATAATAAACAGCTTCTATCAATAAGATCGCAGGCTATCTTGCTCACCCTCAAAAATGTGAGTTATCAGTGCATACAAATAAAGAAAATATAGATGCCGCACTCTATCAAGACCTATTACCTGTATATAGTATATAAAAACTGTATTTGCATTAAATCTCTAATAGCTGCATGATCTCTTATGTGTAACCATACATGATTGTAATGCCAATCAATACCCAAACGTGTTGATAATAATGACTACATGAAAAAATATATATCAAAATTGGTGATAAAAAAAACAAAAAATAAAAGTCTGTGCAAAATTATTCAAATTTGTGTTTTTCGATGATTAAATAAATAATCCAATTAATAAATAAATATCAAAAAAAAAAATTGAAAAATATGGAAAATAAATAAAAGGTAAAAATTCAATGAATTTTGTGCAAAAACGCAAAACAAACTTGGTGCAGAGTTTCAGCAGGGATGAAATATCTGTGTACTCTCCTTCCAATCCAGCCCTTTAAGCATTCCTCATACTGATCATGTAAATAGAAAAAAGCGGTGAAGACCAGCCTCTCGGGTGTGCTCGCATATACTACCAGTGCTCGCCGTGTAAGGATGCATGGTGATGTCACTGCCCCTCAGTGACATCACCACGCATCCTTACACAGTGAGCACTGGTAGTGTATGCGAGCACACCCGAGAGGTTGGTCTTCACCGCTTTAAGTGGCTATTATACAAAGTGCAGATTGTTTTTAATCAATGTGAGTGCATATTGAGTGTATATTAAAGTGTTTATTTTTATCAACAATAAAGCACTATGCACTTTTCTCTATTTACATGATCCGTATAAGGAATGCTTAAAGAGCTGGATTAAGGAAAGACCAGAGGAGGGAGAGATCCATATGACCATTCAGGCTTACATAGTAGCCCTCTATCTGCAACCTTCACCTGCATCACCTCAGGCTGATTGGAAGGAGAGCACACAGATATTTCATCCCTGCTGAACTCTGCACCAAGTTTGTTTTGCGTTTTTGCACAAAATTCATTGAATTTTTACCTTTTATTTTTAAATTTTTTTGATATTTATTTATTAATTGGATTATTTATTTAATCATCGAAAAACACAAATTTGAATAATTTTGCACAGACTTATTTTTTGTTGTTTTTTTTATTACCAATTTTGACATACCGTATTTTTCGCTCCATAAGACGCACCTGACCACAAGACGCACCTAGGTTTTAGAGGGGAAAAACAAGAAAAAAAAATATTCTGAACCAATGGACTGCAGACACAGTACAGGGGATGACCAGAGACTGCGGACACAGTACAGGAGATGACCAGAGACTGCGGACACAGTACAGGAGATGATCAGAGACTGCGGACACAGTACAGGAGATGACCAGAGACTGCGGACACAGTACAGGAGATGACCAGAGACTGCGGACACAGTACAGGAGATGACCAGAGACTGCGGACACAGTACAGGAGATGACCAGAGACTGCGGACACAGTACAGGAGATGACCAGAGACTGCGGACACAGTGCAGGAGATGACCAGAGACTGCGGACACAGTGCAGGAGATGACCAGAGACTGCGGACACAGTGCAGGAGATGACCAGAGACTGCGGACACAGTGCAGGGGATGACCAGAGACTGCGGACACAGTGCAGGGGATGACCAGAGACTGCGGACACAGTGCAGGGGATGACCAGAGACTGCGGACACAGTGCAGGGGATGACCAGAGACTGCGGACACAGTGCAGGGGATGACCAGAGACTGCGGACACAGTGCAGGGGATGACCAGAGACTGCGGACACAGTGCAGGGGATGACCAGAGACTGCGGACACAGTGCAGGGGATGACCAAAAACTGCGGACACAGTACAGGGGATGACCAAAGACTGCGGACACAGTACAGGAGATGACCAGAGACTGCGGACACAGTGCAGGAGATGACCAGAGACTGCGGACACAGTGCAGGAGATGACCAGAGACTGCGGACACAGTGCAGGAGATGACCAGAGACTGCGGACACAGTGCAGGAGATGACCAGAGACTGCGGACACAGTGCAGGGGATGACCAGAGACTGCGGACACAGTGCAGGGGATGACCAGAGACTGCGGACACAGTGCAGGGGATGACCAGAGACTGCGGACACAGTGCAGGGGATGACCAGAGACTGCGGACACAGTGCAGGGGATGACCAGAGACTGCGGACACAGTGCAGGGGATGACCAGAGACTGCGGACACAGTGCAGGGGATGACCAGAGACTGCGGACACAGTGCAGGGGATGACCAAAGACTGCGGACACAGTACAGGGGATGACCAAAGACTGCGGACACAGTACAGGGGATGACCAGAGACTGCAGACAGTGCAGGGGATGACCAGAGACTGCGGACATAGTACAGGGGATGACCAGAGACTGCAGACAGTGCAGGGAATGACCAGAGACTGCAGACAGTGCAGGGAATGACCAGAGACTGCAGACAGTGCAGGGAATGACCAGAGACTGCAGACAGTGCAGGGAATGACCAGAGACTGCAGACAGTGCAGGGAATGACCAGAGACTGCAGACAGTGCAGGGAATGACCAGAGACTGCAGACAGTGCAGGGAATGACCAGAGACTGCAGACAGTGCAGGGAATGACCAGAGACTGCAGACAGTGCAGGGGATGACCAGAGACTGCAGACAGTGCAGGGGATGACCAGAGACTGCGGACATAGTACAGGGGATGACCAGAGACTGCAGACAGTGCAGGGAATGACCAGAGACTGCAGACAGTGCAGGGAATGACCAGAGACTGCAGACAGTGCAGGGAATGACCATGACCAGAGAGACTGCAGACAGTGCAGGGAATGACCAGAGACTGCAGACAGTGCAGGGAATGACCAGAGACTGCAGACAGTGCAGGGAATGACCAGAGACTGCAGACAGTGCAGGGAATGACCAGAGACTGCAGACAGTGCAGGGAATGACCAGAGACTGCAGACAGTGCAGGGAATGACCAGAGACTGCAGACAGTGCAGGGGATGACCAGAGACTGCAGACAGTGCAGGAAATGACTAGAGACTGCTGACCTTTAGGGAGGGAGGGGGAGCGGGTACGTGAATTTGACAGGTACCCGCTCCCACTTCCGCGTAGTTGTTCTTCCTTCCTTCTTCCCGGGCCGGCTTCTGTGAGAGCCGGGTGCCCACTGCGCATGCGCGAGAAGCGCTACGCTTTGCGAATGGCCCGGCGCCTTCTGGGACCTGTCATGTGTCCCAGAGGACACCGGATCATTCACAAAGCGCAGCACATGCGCAGTGGGCACCCGGCTGTCACAGAAGCCAGCGCGGGAAGACTGTGCAGCGCTGGAGCGAGGAACAGGTAAGGCCCTGCAGGGGAGAACAGCTGAGCGGCCGGCCCGGTATTCTGACATGGTGGCGGCAGAAATACCGGACCGGCCGCTTTATATTCGCTCCATAAGACGCACTGACATTTTCCCCCCTTTTTTGGGGGGAAAAAAGTGCATCTTATGGAGCGAAAAATACGGTATATTTTTTCATTTATTCATTATTATCAACACATGTTTGGTTATTGATTGGCATTACAATCATGTATGGTTACACATAAGAGATCATGCAGCTATTAGAGATTTAATGCAAATACAGTTTTTATACTATATACAGGTAATAGGTCTTGATAGAGCGCGGCATCTATATTTTCTTTAATCGGTCTTCTTTGTATTTTGTAATATTATAAGGAAAGTAGGCTACAATTAACATAAAACTCTCATTGGTAAGATATACTGTAAATAGTGGACTGGTTATGAGTGATGATTGAATTCTTTTAGTGGATTAGAAACTCTAGGATTAGAAATCCAAGTTTGCCAAGTTTTCCTTAATCTAGTCGTGGTATAGTTTTTAAAAGCTAACATTAGTTCATAATGGGCTTCTGAATTTAGTCTGAATGAAGGACATCAGTAAGGTTAGGGGTATCATTAAATTTCCAAAGATTGTTATTGTAAGTCTTGCAGCAATTAAAATATTAG